GCAGAACTCTCGCTCAGCCTTGTCGCGGCGGCGGCCCTGGCGACACGCCATGGCCTGCGAGCTGATAACGTGTCGCTCTGCAAAGCGGGGCGAGAGGCTGGGAAGAGGACGAGGAGGAGGAGGAGGAGGAGGAGGAGGAGGAGGAGGAGGAGGAGGAGGAGGAGGGGGAGGAGGAGGAGGAGGAGGAGGAGGAGGAGGAGGATGAGGAAGGGGAGGAGGAGACGGAGCGGGAGGAGGAGAGGAGGAAGTCTGGGACCTTGCCACTGCTTGAGTTGGAACTCCGGGGCCCTCGGCCCCACATTCCTCCCCTCCTGGCCCGGGGGGGCGTTCGTTCTTCTTTGGCTCCCCCGCCTCCCGCCGGGGGGGGGGGCCCTGCATCTGAGAGGCCTCCTATTTAGCTGGTGTCCGCGTAGATGGGGTCGGAGGATCGCGCCGCACCGCCGATGCATCGGCGATCACCGGCGCAGCGAAGATCGGGCTCCGCAGGGAGCCGCATCGCCGATGCGTCGGCGATGCGGCGCGATCCTCCGACCACGCCTGCTCCGACCCCACACCCGGGGGCCCAGATGCACGAGCACTGTCTGACCCGAGGCACTCTGGCTGCGCTGCCTGCGTGTCGTCACCACCCTGCTCACGGACTGTCTGGTGCAAGGCGGGCCGGCCTTGCCCTGACCTGCCTTGACTGCCTCTCGCCGGGGGGGGGACCGCCGTCGCGCGCCTCTCGTCTGGCTCCGCCGCCGCGGCCGGGGCGCCGCCGCGGCCGGGGCGCAGCGAATCCCAGTCGCGGTCTGCGCCGGCAGGGGGCCCTGGCCGGCCGCGAAGGCAGAGCCTCCTTCCCTCCTCCTCGCGTCTTCCCCCCTTCCCCCCCCTCCCCCCCTCCTCCTCTCCTCCTCCTCCCCTCCTCCCATCCTCCTCCCTTCCTCCTCCTCCCCTTCCCTTCCTTTTACCTTCCTCCTCCTCCTCCTCTTCCTCCTCCTCCTCCTCCTCCTCCTCTTCCTCCTCCCCTCATCCACCTTTGCCTCCTCCCTTCCCCCCCTCCTCGTCTTGGGAGCAGACGGATGCGGGCCAGGCAGCAGGGGCGGAACCGACTCGGGCAGAGGCGGGTGGCGCCAACGAGACACGACGCGACCCACCTGCCACTTCAAGGGCTCCCAACTTCGCGCTTCGCGCCGCGCGAAGCGAGAAGTGCGAATAACATCGCGCTCTCGCGCCGCCTCCCAGGGGAGAAGAGGAGGATGAGGAGGAATTGTAGCCGAACAGCGAAGCGCGAAGCGCGAATAACCTCGCGCCCTCGAGGGCGCCCTTGCACCTGCCATTTCCGCAACCGCGTGCCCGAGCAGGCGCAGCTGGCGAGGGCAGAAGGGAACGCGGCTGGGGATGCAGCGGCCACGGTCCCCGACTCCGTGGGGCTGCGACGGGGCCGGCAGCTGGGCCGGCAACTCGTCGACATATACGAGAGGGGGCGCCCAGCCTCGACGGGGGTGCGCCCGAGCAGCCCCTCGGGCCAGAGGAGAAGCATCCACCACCGCCACCGAGAACTCGGGGGCGGCCAAGAGGGGGGCGACCAAGAGGGGGGGCGCAAATCATGGCCGGCGGCACGTGCGCGGCCCAGGGGGGTGGCCAGGGGCATATTGAAATAGGAAGAGGCGCCATGAAATCTGGGAAAATATCATGGCCCAGGCCGTGATATCCACCCCCCCATAGTCATCAACCCCCTCCTTGCCGCCCCCGAAGAACCACGGGGGGGGCCTCACCCCGGGGCGGTAACACGCCGGAGCGTCGTCTGGTACTGGGTGACGCTCGGGTGTGCCACCGTCCAGGAATCGCCCCCCTCCCCCCCCCCCCGCCGCCCCTTCTGTCCACGGGGGGCGGGGGGGGGGGGGGGTGCCCGCAGGGCACGCCCGCTCTCCCATTGAAATGGGCTTCCTCGTGGGCGGCAGCCTCTCTCCGCCTCTGACCTCAGGGCTCCACTCGCGGGGGTACCCCAATGATGGGCCCACTTCCACGCCGCTTACTCACAGGTTGGAGAAGGGAAGGGATGAGAAGGAGGAGGTGGAAGGAAGAGGAGGAGGAGAGGAGGAGGAGGAGGAGAATGATTAGGAGGAGCTCCCTCATCCTCCATCTTCTCCCCAGTCCTAATGTGGGTAGCGGTGGTGAAACAAGTGCCCCATCACAAGCTGGCGTTCCTTCTCTTCTTCGCGGCCAGTTTTTTTTGTGGGCTCGGGGACTGGGGGACGAGTGATGGGCCGCTGTTTTCCACACTACCACCATAATAATAAGATGGAGGGGGGGAAGACGAGGAGGAGGAACGAAGAGGAGGAGGAGATGAGGAGTGTTAAGGAGAGAGGAGGAGGAGGAGGAGGAGGAGGGAGAGGAGGAGGAGGAGGAGGAGGGGGAATGCGGTGAGTAGGAGGAGGAGTAGGAGGAGGAGGAGGAGGAGGAGGAGGAGGAGAGAGGAGAAGAGGATGAGGAGAGGAGGAGGAGGAGGAGGAGGAGGGGGAGGACGAAGAGGTGGAGCAGGAGGAGGCTCGTCAGAGCGGGATCGCCCACGAGAGCGGCGGCCGAGGGGCCGAGGAGCTGGCTGCGCAGGCTCCGCGCGCCCCCCGACCCTCCGAGGGGCAGCCCCTGCAGCAAGGCCTTCTCGCGGGGACGACGAGAGGCCATCACAGCCCTGCAGCTCCTGCAGCAGGGCCTCCGCGGGGACGACGAGAGGCCATCATACACCCTGCGAAATGCTTAAGAAATCATGGGTTAAGAAATTCATGGTCTCAGAAATTGAATAAAACCCAGAACTTCTATCAACAAATCTTGGGATTCACATTGAAAAGTTAAGACTAATCGAGACTTTGGACGAAAACTTAGGTTTTCTTAAACATCGCCTAAGGTGCACAGCGGAGGCCAGTCCACAGGAAACCTTCCGCAGGAAACCCAACCCTGAGACCCCAGGGCGTCCGTCGATTTTCGGCGTGGGAACCTTACGCCTTCCACAGCAGAACCGTCGGAACCCAAGGAACCCAGGGCACCCTGGAGGCAAGCAGGGTGCTTCCTGGCATGGGTCTCCACTGTAGCCCGAGATCCTGGCGTCGCAACTCTACATGCCGGCCATCTTCGCCCGGCGACGAGCCCCAGGGGGACGGTAATGGGGGGTAGCCTCAATGGAGGGTGAAGAAAGGGGCCCTAAAGGGGCACTCGAGGGCCCCTTTTGGGCCCCAGCTGGCCCCAAACGGGGCTCCAAGTGCCCCCCTTTGGGGCCCTTTGACCCCCACTTAGGTCACACCCCATTGCCACCCGCCCGACAGGGGCTCTCACACATCGATCTGGCTCGAGACACGCCGCAGAACTCTAGGTTCTGAGGCTCTGGTCGTGAATGATCATCCTGTTGCATCACTTGGACATCGTCGGATCCCACGGCCGAACTCAGGAGGCAACATCTAAGAGGTGTTCGTGGGAACGACTGAGGTCGAATTACCAAGCCTGATTGAGAGGCCGTTTTAGCTGGATGAAACCAGATGGAGCCCAAGAGTGAGCCATATTAAGCGGGATTGAGCCAGACTCAACGGAACTTGGTCAGAGTAGGGTGGCCTTCGACTGCGGATACACCAGCGCCGATGCTGGAAGTACCGATACCGCTGCCGCCTGAACCTCTCGAGGGGTGCCTTCTGACCAGAATTTCGAGGCGAATCCAGCGGTGGCGACGAGGGCCGCCCAGGAGGCCCAACAAGGGGGAAAACGAGGGAAGGCAGGGGGATGGTTACCTTCTCCTCCTCGTCTTCGGGGAAGGCTTCGAAAACTTCTCAGATTGAGGGGCTTCCGAGCCTTGAGGAGGCGCGCACCACCTGGCGCGACGGGAGATCCGAGGCGCGGGCAGCTACTATATGGAGTGCCCTCCAGGGGGAGGGACTTACCAGGAGGAGGAGGAGGAGGAGGAGGAGGAGGAGGAGGAGGAGGAGGAGGAGCTGAGAAGGCCCGCCCCTTCTCGCTTCCCCCCCCATATTCGCCGCCGACCACTTCCCCGAAGAAGAAGGCGGCCCCTCGCCCCCGCGGGGCCCGCGGTGGCCGGGGAGCGCCCGCGGAGGAGGACGAGGGGAGGAGGAGGGGGGGACGAGGAGGACAAGGAGGAGAGAGGAGGAGGAGGAGGAGGAGGAGGAGGAGAGGAGAGGACGAGGAGGAGGAGGAGGTGGAGGAGGAGGAGGAGGAGGAGGAGGAGCAGGAGGAAGAGGAGGAGGACGAGGAGGAGGAGGAGGAGGAAGAGGAAGAGGAGGAGAATGAGGAGGAGGAGGTGGAGGAGGAGCAGGAGGAGGAGGAGGAGGAGGAGGAGGAGGAGCAGGAGGAGGAGGAGGATGAGGAGGAGGAGGAGGAGGGGGAAGAATCGTGAACGAAATACTTCTGGAGCCCGTGCACAGAGGAGGCAAGGAAGGGCGGACAGGGGAGCACAGGAAGCAGGGAGGACGAGGCAGCGGCAGAGGAGGTGTGTGGAGCGGAGGCCACGAGAGGAGGAGACGCAGACCCAGAGACCCGAGGTACGTATTGGTGAAATAATTGAGCAGGGACCAACCGTCCCGGCATTCCTATAGTCCTACCACGAAATGTTCTTGGAACCCAAACATGTTCTAAGAGCACAAGCAATTCTCTTATATCATAAACCCGATGTGATACAACAAAACAGACTCCGCCAGAAATGTTCTAAGATCATTTCCTGGAAATCACAAAAAGGTTCTTAGAACATTGTTTGGTAGGACTATAGGCACGCTGGGACGCTTCGCCACTGCTTGAAATGATGGTCCCTCCAGAAATCCCGACCCGTTACGCAGGGCCGACCTTGCACCGTGAAGTATCTCTTGATGCTCCCCGGGCCCCGCGGGGGCCTCCAGAGGCCGACATCGACGAGCCACACCTCCGAGCCAGGTTTTTCGATACGTTGGAGGTCCTGAAAGGAGCGGGAGCCTGAGAGCAGGAGGCGTGAGAGCACGCGCGCAGCCCTGCCCCCCCCCGGGGCCGGCCTCTGCTGGCGCCGCCGCTTCCACCTTTGCCGCCGCCCTCCTCTCGCCTGGAGCCTCAGTGCGCTAGAGGAGGGAGGAACAACAAAACAAGAGGAGGAGGAGAGAGGAGGAGGAAGAGGGGGAGGAGGAGGAGGAGGAGGGAGGAGGAGGAGGAGGAGGAGGAGGGAGGAGGAGGAGGATGGGGGGAGGGGAGGAGGGAGGAGGGAGGAGGGAGGAGGCAGGAGGAAGGAGGAGGAGGAAGGGAGGAGGAGGAGGGAGGAGGGAGGAGGAGGAGGAGGAGGAGGAGGAGGAGGAGGAGGAGGAGGAGGAGGCGAAGGAGGAGAGTGAGGGCGACGGTGGCGGCGGCGACCGCGGCCACGATGACCACGACGACGAGGGGGAGCAGAGCGCGAGAGCAGCGGCCGCGGCCAACGGCGGTGGAGGCACCCACCAGCGGCAGGAGCGGAGGCAGGAGGAGCCTGCGTGACTGACCCTACCAGACCACCCCAACCCAACCTAGAGGCCTCCTAGATGGGGTCCGAGTAGATGGGGTCGGAGGATCTCGCCGCATCCCTGATACATCGGCGATGCATCGCCGATGCATCGGCGATGCATCGGCCATGCACTGGCGACATCGGTGATACATCCGCAACGTCGGCATGAAGAACATTGAGCCCCTCATCGAGCCGCATCGCCGATGCATCGCCGATGCATCGGCGATGCGGCGCGATCCTCCGACCCCATCTACTCCGACCCCATCTAGGAGGCCTAGACCAACCCAAAGGCCCGAATTTCGGGCAGGGGGGTACGGGCTTCATAGACGTTTTTCTCAGTGCTCCCCGACCTCCCCCCCCCACTGGGGATGGACGGCAAGTTGGGGCCTTCGGGTTGGGTTGGGGTGGCGCGGTGGGTGGAGCCTGCCTGTGTGTGCGTCGAGGCACTTTTTTCATACGGCGGACTTCAATCGATGCGGCGCATGGCGACTGCCTTTTGGGGCACGGCTCGGCTTTCCTCGAGCGGCACTGTCTTCCCAGGTCGCCTCCCGGAACTGGCATGGTCTGAACAGCCGCGCGCCTCCTGGGGAGCGAAAACAAGCTTGGCCATCGCAAGCTGGGTTGCCGTCAGCTGCCAACAGAGCCACGCTGGCCGTCAGGTCTTGGGGGTCATGCGCCAGGTGCGCCGAGGGGGGTGCAGCCAGGCATGGCGTGCGGGGGACAAGCCTTGGCGGCGAGCGAGGGGGGGGAACTGAGAAGGAGAAGGCCGTCCCAGCAGGGTCAGAAGCCCCCCGGGCCTCCTGAGAAGCTTCCTGAGCCTTCCCCGGAGACGCAAGGCACCTCTCAGCAGGCGCGAGGGCTTCTGAGAAGCCCCGCCGCCTTCCGAGAAGGCCTTCTCCTCCTCGCCTGCTTGCCCCCCCTCGCTCGCCGCCGAGAGCTGGCGCGCACGGGGGCCGAGCTGGCGCGCTCTCTGCGCGGTCCACGGTCATGGCACCCGTGCAGGGCCTCCTGCCGAGGGTGCCCCGGTCTGGGGCCCGCGCGCCTCGCCTATCAGCCCACGGCCTGTGCCGCCCACGGCGTCTGGCCGCGGCCGCAGTCGCCCGCTCCTGGCCACAAGGGCTCCCAGCGGCGCGCTTCGCGCCGCGCGGAGCGCGAAGTGCGAAAAACTTCGCGCCCCCGCGCCGCCTCCCAGGGGAGAAGAGGAACATGAGGAATCGGAGCCGGAGCGCGAAGCGCGAATAACTTCGCGCCCTCGAGGGCGCCCTTGCAGACAGATGCACGAGGACGCAGTGGGACGCACAGAGACATACTGGCGCTAGATGTTCTCCTTGGAGGCGCGCGTCCGTCCTGAACATATATAGTATACCCATCCAGTGGTCAATCCTGGCAATCCTTTTCCGAGCGGTGTGGCGAGAAAGCGCCCGCCGCGCCCCCTGGGGGGGCGACGAACATACAGTATAAGTATGCTGGGGCGACGCCGCTGCAATGGCCTTGGACGCCCATTTCGAGGCTTTTCGAGCGGGGCGCGGCCATCGAGAGTGGCGAACGATGGACCGAGGAGGCAAGGATGAAGGGATGAAAGGGTACCCTTGGGAAGGTTGCCCATCCTTCCCATGCGGGTTGACTGTGACACGGATGGGGGGGGCGGTCCTTTTTCGGGGAGGGCGGTCTGGCTGGAAATCCCGCTGCACTGCACGGTAAACTATATTGCGCTCCTCGTGATGAAAGGCAGTTCCGTTTCAAAACGGTGCCATCGTCAGAATGACAAGCGCATATGGTGCTGATCATTCAAAGGGGGTGTTTCTTGTAGCGCGCGGGACGTATGAGGAGGAGACTGCGGACGGGAGAATGGACTGCAGCATCGCTGACACATCCTGGGTTTACTCGGGTCCTCTCTCCTCCTCCTCCTCCTCCTCCTCCTCCTCCTCCTCCTCCCTCCTCCTCCTCCTCCCTCCTCCTCCTCCTCCTCCTCCTCCTCCTCCTCCTCCTCCTCCTCCTCCTGCCCCCTCTTGTCAAAACCGTCTGTCCGGAGATGTGCCGGCTCGGCCTCCCCGTGCAGCCAGGGCGGAGTGCAGACGAATCGCGGCACCGCGCCGTGCGGGGCAGGCGATTGGCAGGCAGATCGAGCCGCTCCGCTCAGACGGTGGGCGCCTCGAGAGCCTCGCCCTGTGGACCTCGGGCGCCCCGCCGAAGTCGGCCCGCGGAGCCGGAGGTCACGGGGCCCACCGCGCGGCTCCTCGGGAGCTCCGCGGCGTGGCGGGGGCCTCGGCCGGCTGCCGAGGGCACGGGCCCCACACGGGGGCCGTGCGAGGAGGGCGGCGGCGGCCACCATCGACCCCGTCAACGAGGCGACCATGGCCAGTGGGGAGCTGCGCCGACGCCGCCTGGGAGCATCGGGAGGTCGCCCGCGCGACTGCCCCGTGCCCTCGTCGCCGTCCTCGCCGCGCGCGAGGAGGCCCGACGCCGCGGTCCGCCGGCAGCCACGCGGGTCAGCCTGAGGCGGCTCGGCGGGGAGCTCCTCGGCCCCCGGCACATCAGGGACGACCTCGGAGGCATGCCGGCGAAGCTCCCACGAGGGGACCACGCGGTGGCGGCAGCGGCAGCTCCTCGGCCACTGCCTCGCCCGGCTCCTGGGAGTCCAGGTGCGGACGCGCGCGCCCTCCGCCTCGGCTACCAGGGCGTGCGCTGCCCGGGGCGCTGCGCGCGCTACCAGAAAAAAAACGGGGCGCTGCGAGCGCTGCAGTCGGCCGCCCTGTGGCCACCGGCGCGGGCGGACTGGCCAGGCCGCTGCGAGGGCCCTGCGCATCTTGTGCGGCGGGCCCGTGGGCTCGCACGGCCACTGGTATTGTCGAGTGCCCCGCGGTCTCGGACCAGCAGGACGACGAGAACGACGAGACCTTCCCCGAGGAGATGTGCAAGGTCCGCGACCGCCTGAAGGAGCAGGCCGTGGTCACCGAGGACGGGCCCAACTTCGAGCACTCGTCATACGGCCTCCCCCTCGAACCGGATTGGCCGCCGCCCGTATCTGCTCAGCTCCCCAAGCATGAAGGGGGCTTGACGGAGGTCGCCTGGGGTCAGGTGCTGTTCTCGGACGGCTCGGGTCGCAACCCTGGCTGCGTCGAGCTGCGACGCTACAGCTGATCGGTGGAAGAGATCAACCAGCAGCTGATCTAGAGCCTTTTAGACAGGGTCCGAGTAGATGGGGTCGGAGTATCGCGCTGCATCGCCGATACATCGCCGATGAATCGCCGATGCATCACCGATGCATCGTCGGCGTCTGCGTGCCGCAAATCGGGCTCCGCATCGAGCCGCATCGCCTGTGCATCGACGATGCGGCGCGATCCTCCGAGCCCAGATATCTGCTCGGACCCCACCCAGGAGGCCCAGATGATCAGCGGTGGAGATCAACCAGCAACTGACCCCCCGTCAAGGCCGTCTGCGGCGACCCGCCGGGAGAGTTCCAAGGGGTTCCCCCCTCCAAAGCGCCACGCGGAGCTCCGCGCCCTTCCCGCCCGGCGGGGCCCCCGTCCAGCTCTCCTCGGACCACAAGCAAAGAACCAAACTCTCTGTATATATACACCGACGCTCTTTCCGGCCCTGCACGGACATGTGCACAAGGAAGCGCATCCTGGTGTACAGTCGGGGCGTTGACCTAGGGAACCCTAGATAAGGAACGAGGCCCCTTGTTTTCCATAAGTTGAACTTCGATTTGCTATCGAAGAAGTAAGAAAAACCAAAGGCGAACTACAAAACAACTAAGGAACACCGAGCCCCTCCCCAACGAAAAGGGTTCCTTCCTCAGCGCCCCGACTGTATGCGGGATCCTGATGTGTACACGTTTCGCTGCTACCCCGGGAACGCGGTAAAGCAACGCCTCCCTGTCGCACCCCCGATCGTGTGGGTAGAGCGGGCCAGTCGCTTCGCCTGGGAATTCCTCACCACATGTAGGACTCCGAAGCTCGAACTCTGCACCGGCTCCACGGATGCAGGGCGGCCCGCTCTCAAAATGTGGCTCTCTCGCCTTCGCGCCGCGCGCAGGCCTCTCAAACGTTTGCAGCAGCTTCAAGCATGGAGGGCGGCCCGTTTTGTTTGTGTTGTTGTTTAGTTGTGTTTGCTGTTATATATACATATATATATAAATAGTATAATATTTCGAACACACACATATATATACCCATGCCGAGGATAATAAAGTACCCCCCTTAAGTAGTTTGAGTTTTTTTATCGTCGGCCTAGACGGGTTTCAAATAGAGGCGGAGGGCGCGGAGGCCGAACTTCATTATCACGGGGAAAGTTCGCCATCGAGGTTACTTCCTTCTTATGTTGAGATATCAACATCAAGCGAAGCGAACACGTTTTTATATATATATATATATATTCAGAATGTCTCAAGCGAAACCAATGTCCTTATGTCTCTTTGTAGTTATTTATGTCTTTCGTTCTTTCTTTCTCTGTCTCTCTCTCTCTCTCTGTCTCTCTCTCTCTCTGTCTCCTCCTCCTCCCTCTGGCGCCCTGAACTTGTTTATCGCTGGGGTTGATTATCCTGGGAAACATTTAATTTTCATTAAGCGCTTACACATTGAATCTAATACGTTTTTAACTTTGGATTTTTGCTATATCCTTCTCCTCTCTTCCTCTTGCTCTTTCTCCTCCTCCTCCTCCTCCTCCTCCTCCTCCTCCTCCTCCTCTTCCTCCTCTAACTACCTCCTCTTCTCTTCCCATATTTCTATGTATCTCTCTATCTTTCTTCTCCTCCCCCTGCCCCCCTGAACTTGTTATCGCTGTGGTTGATTATCCTGGGAAAACGAGGCACATGAGGAATCTCGAGGATGCCTCAAGCGAAACAAGCAATGATTTCAAGGATGTCTCAAGCGAAATAAGAAATAATTTGAAGATGTCTCAAGCGAAACAGACACATATTTCGAGGATGTCTCAAGCGAAACAAGAAATTCCTTGAGGATGTCTCAACCGAGACAAATCATTGTTGAGGATGTCTCATAGAGGACCAAAGAGCAAGGATCCTCAAATATCTTTGGCTTTTTCCTCTTGATATCTCTTTATGCTGGCTCTGGCGGGCAACTTTTATTATCTCCCCGAAAACCCCGAACTTTACTATCCCTGGGGGTTTATTCTCCGAGGTCTAGGGTTATATATATATGTGTGTATAACAAAAAACGCAGGTCTCGACGTAGCGCCGCGCATGTTCGTCTTCAAAAAAGGCAGCAGGGTCAAGGATGGAGGGCGACCCGTCTTCGTCATGTGGCTCTCGCCTCGCCGCCGCGCACATTCGTCGTCATACTTTGCAGCAGTACCACAGGTGGAGGACGGCCACTTTGCAAAATGTGGCTCTCGCCTGAGCGCCGCGCGCATTCGTCTCAACATCGTGCGACGTGTGTAAGGAGTTGTCTGGATGAGGCCCCAGGACTAACGTTCCAGCACGATTCGGGAGTGTCAGGGCGAAACAGAATTGTTGATTTGTGGTGCTGAAATCTCTGAAATCATGTTCTGGCACGGTTTAGGATTGCCAGGACGCGGCAGTCTCGAATATGCGCGGCTCTAAAGACCCAGAAATTGAATTCTGGCCAGATGGCGGATGCTCGAACAAGCGTCTATGAAAACAATTCTTTCACTGGTCTGCGAAGAAGGAATCCCAAGGGAAGCTTAACTGCATGTTCGTGGACGCGTCTTGGGTCTGCACTGGCCCTCCTGGCCCACTGACCCACCGACGGTAATAATGCTATCCGACCGGCGTGGCCATCCCCCCCCAGGGCCGGTCGGCCCTCAGGAGGGTGACCAAGCTAGTGAGCCTGGCGAAAGTCATCGCTGGCTGGGTTCAGCGACAGCTGGAACTGAACGAAAAACAACTATTGCGAGATAGCTAGTCCTCCTCCTCCTCCTCCTCCTCAACCTCCTCCTCCTCCCGTCTCCTCCTGCTCTCGTCCCTCCCCTCCCCCCTTCCCTCCTCCCTCCCACCCCTCCCTCCCCCCTTCCCTCCTCCCTGCCCGTTCGGGTGGCGCACGCGCCTCGGCCCTTGTCCTTGCCGCGGCCCCTGCCCGCGCGGCCGTCCTCGGACGCGCGCCGGGGGAGGGAGAAGGGACGTGGACTTAAGTCAGGCGTGTCCCCCTACAGGGAGATCTTCGGCAAAAAAACAGAAATATTCCAAAATGGTAAAAAAAATGCTCAAGCAACAGTCCCCAGACTGTTTGACGGATCATTTTTGAAGATTCCCCCTGCAGAGGGACAGGCCCGACTTAGACTTAGATTGGGCGGCGCGCACACAGGGGTAAGGGGCAGGGGGGAAGGCCTCTTGGAAGAAGGCTGCTTATTAGAGGGCGCCAGCCCTGCATGTCTATAGATGAGGCCGGCGCCTTCTCCGAAGCAGGGGTGCTTCTGAGAGGCCTTCCCCCCCTGACACTCCCCCCTCTGCGCGTGGTCGGCAAGCCCCCTCGCGTCGCGAAAGCAAGCGCGACAGGAGGCGCCGTCAGAAAAAGCTACCGGGGATGCAGAGCCAGGCCCAAGGTAAGGGTCGAGACCTCGGAGGGTCCACGCTGTCGCAAATCGCGAGGGGGTCCGGGGAGGGAGGGAGGGGGATGCGAGGGGAGGAAGGGAGGTAGGGTTCAGTCGGGCCTGCCCCCATACAGGGGGATTTTCGACGAAAAATGCAAAACACTCGGAAAGGGCTCCAAAGATGCCCCAAAATTGTCAAAAAATAGTCCCCGGCCTGTTTTTTTTAAATCATTTTTGAATATCCCCCCCGTAGGGGGACAGGCCCGACTGAAAGGCAGGGAGGAGCAGGGGCGAGGGGGAGCGCCAGCGGAGGGCTGGCTATAGCGCGGGGAGGCATCGACCTGACGTCGGCGGTGCCTCGCCGAGGGGTCGGCGACGGGCCCCCGGTGGCGAGAGCGCACGCTCCCGGGCGGGGTGGGGTGATTTTCCTACGCCCCGATCGGCGATGACAGGGCGAGGAGCGAGGAGCGAGGAGGAGGAGGAGGAGGAGGAGGAGGAGGAGGAGGAGGAAATTGAGGAGGAAATTGGGGAGGAAGAGGAGGGGGAGGAGCAGGAGGAGGAGGAGGAGGAGCGAGGAGCGAGGAGGAGGAGGAGGAGGAGGGGTGGAGGAGGGAAGGAGGAGGAGGAGGAGGAGGAGGAGGAGGAGGAGCAAGGAGGAGGAGGAGGAGGAGGAGGAGGGGCGATGTCCTTTCCCTTGCGCTTCTGCCCCCGCTCGCTGCCCCCTGGCAGGGAGGAGGGTGGAGGCGGCTGAAGGTCCCAGGGCGCTTCGTCTGGCGCCCGGGGTGCTCGCTCCCGAGCGCGCTGAAGCTTCAGAGCCACAGCTGAGGCTGAACTGAACTGCGGGGGCCTTGGCTCAGGGATGCGCGGGCAGTCCAGCCCGCGGCCTGATATGGCTCGATCCAGACACCCTGGATCCGAACGTGTTGTAATCTCTTGGGGTCGCCTCGCTTCCGCCAACTTCTACCAGCCTTACGCCAGCCTTCCACCGACGAGGAGACGCCAACTCCTCCGATCCTCAAAACAAAGGATCGCAAACATGAAAAAGCGACGCGTGGATCATCGACGGGCCCCGTTTCTGTATTGAATCGGCGGCCTCCGTTGCCAAATCAGGCGACTCTGGCCCCATATTTCGGGGACACCTGCCCCGATCAATGGATCTGGCGCCCACGCGCCAGATCCACGAATCACTGATCCGTGTTAGCGTGCACCCGACAATGGCGAGGCCATTTCGGGACCGCCCTGTAATGACGGCGAGTTCCAGGAACCCTGAACCCGAACATGTTGCCATCTCTTGGGCGCATGTTTTACTTCCGCCTCCTGCCCCCAACCTTCCGCCAGCTACCGCCGGTGGAAGCGGCCTTGTTTTACTTCCGCCGCCTTCCGCAGACTTCCGACGCTGGATGAGATGGCAAATCCTTCGACTCGCGAATCGCGAAGGCAAGGCCATTCCTGGAGCGCCCCACATCATCCTGGCCGCCCCCCGGGGGGAAGGAAGAAAGGAGCAGGAGGAGGAGGAACAGCAGGAGGAGAGGAAGGAGGAGGAGGAGGAGGAGGAGGAGGAGGAGGAGGAGGAGGAGGAGGAGGATAAGGAGCAGCAGGAGGAGGAGGAGCAGGAGGAGGAGGAGGAGGAGGAGAGGAGGAGGAGGGAGCGAGGAGGAGCGAGGAGGAAGAGGAGGAGGAGGAGGAGGAGGAGGATCGGATCTCCGGGCCTTGATTCGGCGGCGAGCGAGGGGGGGAAGTGACAAGGAGCAGGCCATCTCCGAAGGCTCGGAAGTCCCCCGGCCTTCTGAGAAGCTTTCTACGCCTTCCCAGAAGGCATAGGTAGCTTCTCAGGAGGCGCGAGGGCCCCTGAGAAGCCCCGCCGCCTTCTGAGAAGGCCTTCGCCATCTCATTTGCCCCCTCGCACATTGCCGGCAAGGGGGGCCCCACAATACAAACAAATACATCGGATCTATGAGCCGAGGAGGAGGAGCGAGGAGGAGGAGGAGGAGGAGGAGGAGGAGGAGGAGGAGGAGGAGGAGGATGGGGGAGGAAGAGGAGGAGGAGGGACGAGATCGAGGAGGAGGAGGAGGAGGAGAAGGAAGAGGAGGATGAGGAGGAGGAGGAGGAAAAGGAGGAGGAGGAGGAGGAGGAGGAGGAGGAGGAGGAGGGGGAGGAGGAGGAGGAGGAGGAGGAGGAGGATGAGGCAGAAGGAAGAGGAGGGAGGAGGAGGAGCGAGGAGGAGGAGGAACGAGGAGGTGGAGGAAGAGGAGGAGGAGGAGGAAAGGGAGGAGGAGGAGGAGGAGGAGGAGAGGAGGAGGAGGACGAGAAGGAGGAGGAAGAGGAGGAGGAGGATGAGGAGGAAAAGGAGGAGGAGGATAAGGAGGAGGAGGAGGAGCGAGGATGAGGATGAGGATCAGGATGACGATGCCGACGATGATGCTGATGATGATGATGAGAAGGAGGAGGAGGAGGAGGAGGAGGAGGAGGAGGAGGAGAGGGACGAGGATGAGGAGGAGGAGGAGGAGGAGGAGCGAGGAGGAGGAGGAAGAGCGAGGATGATGACAAAGCGATGACGATGATGATGGTGATGACGATGATGAGGAGGAGGAGCGAAGAACGAGGAGCGAAGACGAGGAGGAGGCGGAGGAGGAGGAGAGTAGGAGGAGGAGGACGAGGAGGAGGACGAGGAGGAGGAGGACAGACAGACACCTATGGGGGCCAACATACATTTCGATGTGAAAAAACAACGAGCCCTAGGACCGACTTAGCAGCCGCGGAGTTCAGGAAAACAGCCGACCCACTGTTTACAAGGCCAAGAGACCCCAAACTATCACTTGTACTACCCTTGGAAACCTAACATTCTGGCGGGAACACCAACGACATAGTTGCCGAAACCACTACCGCGAAACTCTCTGACCACGTTCCGCGGTCCCTTGAGCGGGGGAGGACAAGGAGACGAGGGAGGCACGAGGCGAGCGGGAAAGGGAGGATAACTACCCACAGACATTCTCGACACGGCGGCAACAGCGGCATCAGGCCTCGAGCACCACGCACTCGTAGTGCGCACCCTGCTCCCTCCGACATACCCCTGACTCTGCGCCCTCATGTCGTCAGACATCGCAGTGGCAGCATCATCACAAGTCCATCCCACTTTCTCGCATGGACTGCATAACTCTCGGGATGATTCATCGGTGCAGTGCCCATCTTCTTCTCGAAGCCCAGCTGCACCAAGCAATCGATTTACACGTTCAGCAAATCGCTCTGAGACGCCCCTATTTTGCAGCTCCCCTCTTTGAGCGCACCCTGGGCTTTCACAAAGGGGAACAGCTCGTTCACGGTCATCAGGGACTTCTGATTGAGAAGTCCCTCCTTCCACTCCAGCAACTTCTTGGCATTCGCGGCGCCGACGGCCACTCCCGCACTCTCGACGCCCTCCACGGGCCCGACCGAGGCCGCGACGCTGATGCTCCCCAACTTTTGCACGCCCTCCTCCTGTCCACGACTGCGGAGGTCCTGCGCCGCCTCGGCCCAGCCCTTGACCCTCGCCCTGGACTGCGTCACGGGGGCCGCAGACTCGGGACCGATCAGCGTGAGGAGGGTGATCGCCTCCTGCTGCCTCTGCCTCATCGTGACGTTCAGCAGGAGCTCCAGCATCACCGGCGCGACTTTGCGGAAGTGATCCAGCTCGAAACTCTCCAGCTCCTCTAGCTATGACAACTCGATATTCTTTTGGCTCGTCTTCTGCGCCGCGCCCTGTTTTGGTCTGCCGCCGCCGCTTCCTTGGCCGCCTCGCTTGGCCCTCGACGCGGGGCCTCCGCTCGCGGCGGGCGAAGCCGCTGCAGGGACCTGCGTGAACGTGCCGCGCAAACTCAGGAAATTGGCGCAGGTAAGTGCACAGGAAGGTGTCTGTGCAGCAGCTCAAGAGAGGCAAACGGCTCTTCACAACCAGGACATGCACGATGGGTGGGTCGCACCTAGAACCGCCCACCCTGCATCTACCATGTCGATGGGCATTGACAAAATGGCGCACAACAGTGTGTACTGGAGCACGCGATGCACTGACACGTGACTGTGAGCTTCGCGACGACTGACAATATCCCGTGCTGACCCCCAGAGGCCAGTCTCTGATGAACAAGCAGTGCCCGACGCGAGCGAAATCTACGACCACATACCAACCCATCAGCATCTAGGAGCTCACGCTCGAACACCCCCTCCGCAATCTCCTCGGGCTCCGCGACAGGGGTCTCCAGAGGAACTGGCATAAGTGACCACTCGGCCCTGAACTGCTGCGCCCCTAACTTCTGGAAAGCCTCGAAACCTACAGTTTTCCTCCTGAAGGTACCCGTGCAGTCCCCTCCTAGATTCTCCAAGACCTGCCTCCCCTCCTCGGCCACCTGCGTGGATTCAACGCCCACGAACAACTGACGGGCCCAAGGGTTCGTCCAGGCAGCACTCCTAGGACGCATCATTGAGCTAGCGAGCCGTTGGTCGCGGTACCCAGGGGGCCGAGCAATGTTCTGCCATTCTTTCAGTCCCTTTACGCGTAGTTCCAAGGACAGCGGAAATGCGCCAGCACTCTTCCAGATCTGCACAGCAGGAAATGCGCGGAGAACAAAGATCTCACGCCCGTCGTCCGCAACAGCTGGGATCTTCTTAGCCGCACCACCTAGCAGCACTCTCAGGTACTTGAGGCACGCGGATTCCAGACGGGCCACCTGGGACTGCTCCACAACCAACGCCTTAAGGCCCGAAAGGGCCGCTCCCACAATATTGCCGCGAAAAAGCCATCGCCATGGCCTTCCGCGACGAACGCGAAGTCCAGAAGCGTCTCATATGGGCCTCAACTTCAGGAGACCAGGACCCACTCGGAGTGAGTAACGCCCCAAGGAACGGCACCGCAGGAAGAACAACCCTAGGGAGACGTTCGCTCTGGGCAGCCTGGAAGGCCATGCGCGTGAATCTGGTAGCCCCTCCCCCCACAAACTGCGGCGCCACAGACTTCTTACCCTGGCTCTGATAGATCCCGCGTTGCTGGACGCGACGATCCAGACGTGAACCCGAAGCGCGGATGATGGCCACCGCCTCGTCGAAGTCTCGGGCAACGTGCGTTTTGTTCGCGTCATCCGCTAAGGCCCGCAGCGAGAGGTCACAGCCCGCGCTTGTGATCGGGCTGAAGCCGCGTAGACGAATAGCGTGGCGCGCGCGAAGATCGCCAGGCCATTCGCGCATCGGCGGGGCATGCGCTTCTTGGAAAACAGTGGCAGCACTGGGGTTCCCCATGTGGTTCCCCTCAGTATTTTGGAATACCCGATGTCCCTCCCTCCGCCTGGGCACGAAAGCAAGTTCGCCTATGCCTATGCCGAAGGATACGCGCTCCGGCTTCAACATGCAGTCGATTCACTGCCTGGTCCAGTGACGTGTGTTTTTCATACCCAACCGCATTTCTCATTTCGCGTTTCGTATCCAAGGTGGACAGCCTGTTTTTCGGGGGCCCTCCACGTAAGCACAGCAGTAGCACGAGCAGCGCGAGTCCTAGACCTCCGAGGCAGATAGTCGTAGTCGCACGACGGGATAGCGCGAGGCTTCGACGTGCGATTTTAACCCACACTTTCCTCAGACCGCACAGCCCATGCAGTAACCTGGCCCCCAGTCCTCGACTTGCAGTTTTCCTCGGAGAGCCGGCAGGTAGAAAGGACATGCTCCATTGGGCCACGAGGCGGCCCTGGTGTCTAACATTCGCAAGTATGCAGCGAACCCAATCTTGACAATAGCGCACCCAGCCCCTCTGGAGGCCCAGCACCAAGTCCAGCGACGCGCTCTCGGAGGTCTGGGCGCTGAGACAGAAGAATGGCCCAAACACCATTTGGCGCACTCCGCGGCGCAGCGGCACGTCGCCTCCGCGCCGTGCGAAAACCTTCTGCGGTCCGATCCAGATCGCCAGCTGCTAGATCAGCAGCGGCAACAGACGCAGGCTCCACCGAGTCATGCGGCGACGCCTGCACAACGAACGACTCCTCGTCAATCGGCCACGCAGCCATTCCACCCTTGCTCGAAGCCATCGCTAGATCCTCCTCCCACTCCTCCATGCTCGGCGTGTACTCCGCGATCGCTCCGTGCCTCCCCCTCCCCGGCCCCGCAACTGCACCCGCCATCAGTCTGCGTATCCTCCACTCCCCGAAGTCTGTCCCTCGGCCTGAGCTTCCCCCAACTCCTCCGCCACCTGGGCCTCCCTTTGCTCGCGAAATCGACGACGTAACGCCCTGCGTCCCTTGGTGGCTCTGGTGAGCTTCAGGATGGCCTCCATGTTGTCCTGCATCTGCTCGCGGGCCCTGCCGCGGGCCTTCAGGGCCTGAATCCTGTCCTGGACGAGCTCCTGGTAGGCCTTGGGGAGCGCCTTGGGGGTGGCCTCGAACATGTCTCGACCTTTCTCCTGATAAGTTCAACCAGCTGCGACCACGCTACCTCCGGAGACCCCGAGCCTTCAACCAAGTCCCAGACGCTGGTGGCCCCCCGGTGCTCAAGTAGCTGCTGGATGGCCCATTCTACTCTGTTGCGAAGTTCATCTGGGCGTCGTTCAGATCATAGCGCCTGCCCGAGTCCTACGACGTCCCATCTGCGACATGCGACTTGAGGCCAATCTCCAACACGAACGCAACATGATCTCTAGGCCGACTGTCGGGGATGACCTGCTGCTTCCGAGACGAACGCATGGCGGCTTGCTCAAGGCGTCTTACCGACCTCAAGAGAGCGTCGGGTATGAGTACATGATCGATCCATGCAACATCTTGGCGGACACGAGCAACAGGCAAACCTGCAAACCTGCAAACTGTAGTACGATGGCCCACAAGGAAAATATTGGCAGCAACCAGCCCGAAATTCTCTGCCATCTCCCTGAACACCTGGCCCGCGCAGTGCTCCACGCCGCGTCCGTGTGTTCCAATCGCAGTAGACTCTAATACTGCACTGCCGTGTGGGTTCAACGCATGATCCAGTCCGTCATTCAGACCAGCAGCAACAATAGGCACTGATCGAGCTGGGACTTCTGCAAGAATATTATGACCAAAACCGTGAACTTTCTCGATCGTGGTGCGAAGACGCGCCTGTTCTCTAGGGCCCCTACTCCTTGGCGGAAAATACAGCCCAACACACGTCACATCCCCATACTACGACTTCGCACGAATAGCTGCCGCTCGCCCTCTGCCACAAGGCACTCCGATGGCAGCAAGAGCGACAAACAAAAAAATGATGTCTGATGAATAGTATGGAGGTTCAGTACAAGGTGAGTGCGGGTAAGGTGGGCTGTTGGCAAGCCTCGAAGTCGGGAACGTGGGTCCCAACCCGAATGCCGTGCCGCCGCAGCACGGAGGCGACCTGGGCCGCGCAGCTAGGAGGAGGAGGAAGAGGAGGAGGTGGAGGAGGAGGAGGAGGGGGAGGAGGGGGAGGTGGAACGAGGAGGAGGGGGAGGAGGAAGAGCGAGGAGGAAGAGGAGGAGGAGGAAGGAGGAGGGAGGAGGAGGAGGAGGAGGACAAGCGAGGAGGAGGAGGAGGAAGGAGGAAGAGGAAGGAGGAGGCGGATGGGCCTTGGCAGTCTCCATAGGACCCCGGCCGGAGCCTCTCGCCGCAAGCGGCCCACGACCAGCACCCGGCGGCCCACGGGCGGCGGCCCCTCGGCGGCGGCGGCTGCCAGCGGGCGGCGGCGGCCCTCGGCGGGGCCAGCGCGCGGGCGTCTCCCCCCCCCCCTGGGGGCTCCGCAGCGTCGGGCTCGCCCTCCGGGTCGTCCTCGCCGTCGGCGGGCCGGCTGGCCCTGGCGCCCTCGCGCTGAGGTAGAGGGGGGGGGGGGGGGCGAGAGGGGCAAGGGATGGGAGCAGAGGGAGGGGGGGAGGGAAGGGAGCACAGGGAGGGGGGAAAGGGGAGGGAGGGAGGAGGGGAGGAGCAGAGGGAAGGAGGGAGGGAGGGAACGGGGGGAGGGGGGGAGGGAGGGAGGGGGAGGGAGGCAAGCTAGGTGCGCTCGCGTCATATCTGACATCCAACCCCTGCCTCCCATTCCTTACTATGGCGCAGATCCCCTCTCTACTCGCTCAGTCGGATGTCGAGCAGGGCAATGATCCCGAAAAGGTACGCGATGCATTGTAGAGCACGGCATGGCATGGCGTAGAAGAGCACCGCAAAGCGTAGTATCAACGTAGCATTGCATTGTATGCCGTGGCACGGGACGGGAAATGACGCCAGCGCTGCATCGGGAGCGCGAGTCGAAACGAGCGGAAGCGCGGAAATGAGGCAAGCGCTGCAGCGGGAGCACGAGTCGAAACGAGCGGAAGCACGGAAATGAGGCTAGCGAGAGCAGCATTTTGAAAACAAATGCAGGCGAAAACCCAACTCCGGGGAAATCTGTAACAAAAACAATACGCGGGGGGGGGGTCGGCCACTTTCAAACCGTCATCAGGGGAAGAGGGAGAGTATATAGTATTCATATTGAGTAATTGTGGAGCACAGGGAGGGAGGGAGGGGGGAGGGAGGGGAGCAGAGGGAGGGGGGCAGAGGGAGGGAGGGAGGGAGGGGGAGGGAGGGAGGGAGGGGGAGCGAGAGGGAGGGAGGGAGGGAGGGAGGGAGGGGGGCATGGGGGGAGGGGAGGGAGGGGCTTCTCATGGACTGCAGCTGGCCTGCGCGGGGGCTGCGTGCCAGGCGACGTACCCCTGCCCTCCATGTTCGGGCTGCGGCATGGCGGGTCGACTGAGCCAATCCCGATGCTTAGCTGGCCCCCGGGAGGGGCCCGCCCCGACCCCTCCTTCGAGCATGCTTGGCTCTCCCCCCCGCCCTGGCTGCAGACAGCAGGGCATCGATGGGGGATGGGGAGCGGGGGAGCAACACCGCCGCAGCCACGCCGCTCCATGTCGCGTCGTGCAAGCCATCCCCTCGAGGATCGCAGGGACGAGGGGGCGGCAGGGGCCCCGAGACGGGGTGGTGACTACACCGTGTGGTGAGTCGGTGGGGGCTCGGGGCCACCGCACGGGTTTGGGACTCGGGTTGTTCTCCGATGACGTCTCGGGCGACTGGAGCATCCGAGGTCCCAAGACCGTGCGGTGACGGACCGTGCAGTGAGGTCTTGGGGGATTCCGAGGTCACCGCACGGTCTGTCACCGCACCGTTTCGGGACGGCAGGGAAAGCCCGGGCCGGAGCCCAGCGGCACTGGGCACGAAGAAAGGAAGGAACGGAGGGAGGCGAGGCGAAGAGGAAGTGGTGCAGGCTGCGAAGGGAGAACGGGAGGGAGGGAGAGCGGGAGGGAGGACGGGGGGAGGACGGGAGGCGGGGCGGGACAGGCTGAGGAGGTGGACGAAGACGAGCTGCATCTGGCCAGCGCCAGGTGCTGCGACCGGTGCAGCCCAAGACACACACACACACAGACGCTCGACGGTCGCGCGGACTTCCTGGATCGGCGCTGGAGCCCCCACTTCCTCCTCCTCCTCCTCCTCCTCCTCCTCCTCCTCCTCTTCCCTGGCGCGCGGAGCGCGCCAGGAGCGGCGCCAGAGGCGCTGCCAGAGGGCCCAGCGCAGATCGACGGAATCCGCGCGGACCTTTGAAAGTTTGTTTCCCCGCCGACAGGTTGGGGTTGCTAGTTGAGCAGGGACCAACCGTCCCGGCATTCCTCTAGGCCTACCACGAAATGATCTTACCAACATGTTCTAAGAACAATAACAATGTACTTAGGACGTAAGCCCGATGTGTTAGAACAAGATCAGCTTCAGCCAGAAATGTTCGACTAACATTTCGACCACAATAGGTTCTTATGACATCGCTTGGTGGGCTTAGTGGCACGCCAGGACGCTTCGCAACTGCTTGATTTATTTTTCATTATATATACATATTGTTTCAACAAACCACACATACACACAAACAAAAACAAAACGCCCGACCCGCCTCGCAAACCCTGCATACCACGACCGCCAAGTGTGCCAGCACCCCCTGGGTATCCCAGGCCCAAGTCTGCTGACGCTCCCTGGGCATCCCGCCTCGCGTTCCTGGGCGGGGGTCGCTCGAAACAAGATACTGTCATGCCGTTTTCGGCACCAGCGACATGGATACGGCGCGCCTTCGACGAATGACGACTGCATACCGCGGGCGCCAGGCCCAAGTCTGCTGGCGCTCCCTGGGCATCCCGCCTCGCATTCTTGGGCGGGCATCGCTCGAGGGCTCGCCGTTCTGCATCGGGCCTTGCGAGAGGCTCTGTCTTCTTCATATTGCGAGCTTCGCTCGCCTACACATTTCCATATCTCTCATTCGCTCTAGGGTCGCCTTCGAGATCTTCTTGGCGGGGGGCATGCCGTTGCCGGTACGAGCGAAAGGGATACTGAAAGAAGGGGTACGAAGACCGTCATCAGGTTCTGGTCATTTTTGAACTGGACTCGCCGTCGGTGTCGACTCGGACGTTGCCCACTTGACCTTGAGACAGGAAGGCCCCCTGCCCAACAGCGGCCGCTGTCGGTATGAGACAACAATTGTTGGGCATCGTATGCATTCTTTCGTCCCCATTTCGTGTGTCCAATATTTCTCTGATTCGACGGAGGGGCTGCGACTTCGGTGGCAACTCATGGGAGCCTCCCAAACCATCTTGCCGGCTCCTGCGAGTCGACGCTGATCGACGCTAAATCGACGCTAATCGACGCAAACCGACGCCAGATCGGCACTACCTCGTCGACCCCCAGACGCTCACCGACTCCGACCGACGCTAAAGACGGAATTCAGAGGGTCTACCAGGCTCCCATGATGTGCTACCGAATGCGCCGTTGAGGGGCAACGATAGGGGGGACTGGCATAGGGGGGGACACATCGACCTGGAATCGGCGATACATCGCCGATAGATCGGCGATAGGCCTCCGTTAGTGAATCCGCACCTTCCTGGGCAGGTCGGGGCTATCGGGCCCCTATCGGCGATCAATGGGCGACTGGGGATCGATGCATCCCCCCCCCCTATGCCTGCCCCCCCCCCTGTCGTTGCCACTGAGCCCTTCAAAGGCGCGCCCGGCCAGCCGTTGGCCCCGCAGGCCTTGCCCTTCTTCGCCTTCCCGGCGCTGCCCTTCTCGCGCGGTGCGGCGCCTGGGGGCGCCGGACGGCGCCCGAGGGGCATCGCGACGTCGCTCTCCTGTGCCTCTCGGCTCTCTCTCTCTCTCTCTCTCTCTCTCTCTCGCTGTAACTACTCAGAAGAGGAAACGGTGCCCATACCTCCACCCTTGCCTCGTTTGCCCCCTTTTCGGGCCTCCTGGGAGGCCCTCGTCGCAATCGCTGGATTCGCCTCGAAATCCTGGTGAGAACGCACCCCTGGAGAGGTCCGTGGAGCAGGGGTATCGGTACGGGTTCGTCCTTCTGCGTCCCATGGGAAGGGCAGGCAACTTGCTGAGAAGCCCCCCCCCATCACGGACCAATCAAAGCTATTACACCTCAGCACCTTTGAAACCGACGACGTGGACCCGCGACGGAAATGCGAAGGGGGGGTCAACAAAACTGACGATTATTCATTGGAGCCCCCCGACGGAGGGTTGCACAAAAATGACGACGGCGAGTCGAAGGAGATTCTTCAGGGTTCAAAAAGCGAGGACGTCCAGCTGGTGGGTGGATCGAGGGCAGTCCTGCTCTACAGGGAACGCAGAAGAAACCAACCTGATGCGGGCGCCAGAAGCGCCGAAGGGCGCTAGGAGGGGTATGCCCCCCCAGCCCTCCAACTCTCCACGAACTCTGGTTGGGGCAGCAGTGCTGCCAGCAAGGCACGGCTGATAGGAGATGGAGTCTCCAAAATCATCCTCACCGTCCTCAACATCATATCCATCATCGCCGCCCGGGCGCAAGGATCGCCCAACCCCTGGCTAACTCAATTTGCAAATCATTCCGGGCCAAATTCGGCCGACGAGCAATTCGGGCACGCGCTTGTCTCGGCATCCGAGGAGACAAATCTGTGACATGGAGGCCGCCCCCACCCCCCTCACCCGCGCCCCTTTCCTTAGCGGGAAGGAAACGGGTCCTGAGGGAAGCGCTAACCCTGGCCCCTAATTAAAAGCCTCCCCCCAGGAGCAGTCACCCCATCCTGATTCAGTCTCCGAAAGTCTCATGGCCCAAGGGGAGAGGGGGCGGGGGGGACAAGGGGCAGAATCCGAACACGAGCCCCAAAAACCTCAGGACCCGCTTCCCTCAAGACCCGTTTCATTCCACGGCGACTTTACACTCGCCGCCAGGCCCTCTTCTTCTGGCGAAGCACAAAGGTACTTCGAGACCTCCTAGATGGGGTCTGAGCAAATGGGATCGGAGGATCGCGCCGCATCGCCAATGCATCGCCGATGCATCGGCGATGCATGGCCGACGTCGGCGATGCATCGGCGACGTCGGCGGGGAGAAAATCGGGCTCCGCATCGAGCCGCATCAGCGATGCATTGGCGATGCGGCGCGATCCTCGACCCCATGGACCCCATCTATCGGGGGCGGCCAACAGGGGGCGTCCAAGAGGGGAGGGCGCAAATCATGGCCGGCGGCCCGTGCGCGGCTCAGGTGGGGGGGGGGGGGGCTGGGGACGTAATGAAATAAGAAGAGGCGCCATGAAATCTGGGGAAATATCATGGACCACGCCATGAAATCCCCCCCTAGTCATCACCTCCCTCTTTGCCGCCCCCGACATCTAGGATACCTAGAGCCAGGCCCTCTTCTTCTCCTGGGGGAGCACGAGGATACCGCCGCCGCTGCGCTCTGGACCTCTCCCCGGGGTGCGCTCTGCCCCGGATCTCGGGGCGAATACGGCTGCGGCAACGCAGGAAAGGTATAGCGGCAATCGCATCGGTGGTACCTCCTCCTGCCCTCGGAAGAAACCACGAACAAAAACTTTTGGCGCTCCGCGCGAATTTCTTGGATCTGCGCCCTCCTCCTCCTCCTCCTGCTCCTCCTCCCCCTCCTCCTGCTCCTTCCTCCTGATCAACTCCTCCTCCCCCTCCTCCTCCTCCTCCTCCTCCTCCTCCTCGACCTCCTCCTCCTCCTCCTTATCCTCCTCCTCCTCCTCCTCCTCCTCCTCCAGCTCCTCCTCCCTCCTCCTCGTCGTCCTCCTCCTCATCATCCTCCTGATCGGAGGAGGAGGCGGAGGAGAAGAAGGAGGAGCGAGGAGCGAGGAGCGAGGAACGAGGAGTCGAGAGGTGGAGGGGTTGGGGGAAGCAGGATGAGGAGAAGGAGGAGGTGGACGGAGGAGGAGGAGAAGAAGGAGGAGGAGGAGGAGGAGAAGGAAGAGGAGGAGGAGGTCGAGGAGGAGGAGGAGGAGGAGGTCGAGGAGGAGGAGGAGGAGGAGGATTGGACGACCATACGGAGAGAGGCGAGATAGAGAGAGAGAGAGTGAGAGTCCTAGAGGGTCCAAGCCTCTGAAAAGCGCCCAGGTGCCTCCCTTCGGAGGGGAACCTTTTGTCACCCAGGGGTGGTGGCGACATCCGCCCCTGGGGCCAGCGACGGTGGGGCACCCTGGGCTTAAACGAGGCCGTCTTCGTCTGCGCTCAACGCGTCGGGTTCGGCTCTCTTCTTGGCCAGGCGTCCGAGCGCCTGGGCGCTCTCTCTCTCTCTCTCTTTCTCTCTTCGTTGAGGCCGAAACATTAGCGGACGTCCGAGAAGCAGAGGCTGGTGCGATTCTCAAACAACGCGGGGCCTGGGCGCCCCTTTGCACCGACCTCGCCTGGGGCTCACCAGACTCCGTACAACACCGAGGACCGAACAACAACCGAGCCTCTACACTCGGAGAACGGTGAGCCCCAAGCTTGAACGGGCGACTCGCATGCACGAGCCTGGCGAACGCATCCGAACTCTTCTTGCCAGCGCCTCGCGTCGAGGCCTCGGGTCCAGCACAGACTCCTTCGAGTCCATGGGCTCTCTTGGAGACCGTCGCGCAGTCCCCCCGCACGTAGTGCAACAAAAAGCCTCCAGAGAGACTCGAGCACGGGGAACTCCCAAAGCACACGGCCTCCTTGAAACCACGGCGCCCCGGTCGGCTCGGCAGGCTCGGCACGGCAACTGGCCCCGCCTGCGCAGGCGGCTGAGGCGGCGCGGCTGCACTGGGAGCCTGCTCGCCGAAAGGCCGAGAGCGATCCTCGGGGAACGACTCCGGCGACGGGGCCTCAAGAGAGATCAGGGGAAGCGCCTTGGCCCCAATTATCATCATAAGACTCGCCGTATTGCGCCTCCGCCTGCCCTAGAAACTTGAGAAGGCCAAGTGCAAAAACCCCGAAGCATCAGGCGCAGACTAGCGTCAAGCCCAATCAAGGTTGCCCCTTGCTTGGGCGTGGCCATGTACTACGCTACATGGCTCACCATCTGCTTCCACAGGTGAGCGCGAGGGTTCGACGGACACGTGGCGTGCCGATGATCAGCGCAACAGGCCAACGGTCCTGCACAGTCGGTGTACAACGTGAAAGTACCCGTCGCAAATCTGACGGCCAAGAGCACTGCGTAATCCTTACCGTCTCGAGCTACCTGATGGGGCAGCGCTGTCGGGGGCACGGCGCCGTACCACCCTGCTAAAAACTGCATGCCGACATCGAAAAATGGCGACCCCCCACCCTGCCACTCTGACAGTGGGGAACTCAAAATCGAGCCCCGAGCCATCACAGAAGACATGGCCCCTTAAGAGGGCCAAAGGCCCCGCAAGGCCCTCCACACGAAACTCGATGGAGGGGTCCCACGGTCTCCTGGCCAGGAGTTGGCAGGGGTCAGGTAGGAGGCCGCGAGCAAAACGCTCCTGAATTCGAATTGGCGCTGTTCCCACAAACGAGGCGGCCTGGTCCACCTCAGGCGGGATGTGGTCTCGGCGCCACAGGGCGCGCGCTGGGCAACGAACATGGTGGTGAAACAGCGTACCTAATGCGGGATGACGATTAATAAACAAATGGGAGAGAACGTTAAAAAAATAGTTTCTGCTATTTCTGCATAATTTTCTGACTGGAGGAGAACGATTAAAAAGAATAGTTTTCCAGCCCGCGGCCGGTTTTTTCTAATCGTCATCCCGGGCGCCGCCGCGTGAACACGACCCCCGGTCATTTATTAACCGTCATCCTCCATTACGTCTCCGCAGAGAAGGCACAGATGGCTAAGCTGGCTGTCGTGCTGAGACAGGCGGTGCAGGCACCAGTGGGAGCCGATCACCAGGCCCCTGAGGGATCGCGCTTCCCTCGAGCCCCACCCCCCGCCCACGTCACCAGCAACCACCTCCTCCCTCGATGGCGGCTGCCAGTGAAGCAGCTCATGGAGCGGCCTCCAGAAGACGTCGCCTTCCCAGGCAGCGGCTGGCCCGATGCACCTGAGCGCAAGCCTATCGGAGGCAGACCTGGCGGCGAATGTCGCCCGCTGGGCCCCCGAAGCCAGGGGAGGCATCGCGGACGTCCCAGGAGAGCCCACAGGGCTCGACGACCTTCCAAAGTCCTTCGCACCGCATGTCGATCCTGGCTGCCGTAAGGGTGAGAGCCGCAATGGGGTCTTTGACCTGCGCCCACGGCTTCGGCCGCAACGCCAAGGCTGACCCTGCTTGAAATAGATGGGTGAGCACAACGTCCGGCAGCATGCCTGACTGAACTACAGAGGTGCAGGTCACGAGGGCATCGGCCGACAACTGCACCAGGGGATCTCGGTGCCAGCCACCGCGCAAACACATCGACGCAAATCCCAACGAGGACCCCCTGGGGAGGCGGCCTTCGGCCTTGACCCCGGCGGCACGCAAGGACTTTAGCTTTGCGTCGGCCAATTCTTGGATGTTCGCTCCCCACAGTGCCTGCGCCGTGGGGCCCGCCCTAAAAACAGCAGCAGTTCTAGCTCCAGCCCGTCTGAGCCGCACAAGCCTAGCTGCTCTGACCATCGCCGAAAATACCTGGCCTGGTGGGTGCTGGCCCATCGTCTGGACCCGTCCGTGGCGTCGCCTTCTAAGTCCCAGCGGAAGGGAGCACTCCGACGCCAGCGTTTCGGCAATCTTGGGCGACGAGGCCAAGGACGCCAACTTTCTGCCACGAACTGGGGAGGCCGATATGCTGCACCGCCTTAGCCACTTGACTGAAAGAGGCCGCCAACTCGCGCGTGACCACCTGAGTGCCTCCTATGGCATGGAAGCAGACATGGTCGATGACGTTTCAGGCGCACCGCCTTGAATTCCACTGAGGCTTGCCTGAGGGTGGCCAAAAGCAAAAGATGGGCGAGCGTGGTGGCACACGAGCAGCCTGCCACGGTCGTGCCGTCCGGGTTAACCAGCCTGCTGAAGGGAGGAGGAGGACGAGGAGGCGGAGGAGGAGCCGTTGTTTGTTCTTCGACTCCTCCTGCCCCCGACCCTCGGCTCTCCAGAGCGGCGGCCGAGGGCACCTTTTTTGGGGGGCCCGAGGCGCGCATTCTCCTCCACGGCTGCAGCTCTGCTCGGGCGGGTGCTAAGAGGGGGGGGACCTCAAGTGGGGTGAAGAGAAGATCCCGAAAAGGGGCCCTTCAGGGCCCCTCTTGGGGGCCCAAAAGGGGCCCGAACGGGCCCCTGGAAGGCACTTAACCGACCCCCCCGTTTAGGTCAACACCAATTCCCAGAGATCCAATGTGGTGATTTCTTCAATACGGGGTCCCCGGAAGTATCGACCCATTCCCCCGGACCGGTTCTGCATCCTGAGTCGTTTTCTGACGGCTCCTGGAGGCCGAAAGCTGCGAAAAACCTCCGTCATGAGATGCTTTTTAAATACGTTGGCTCTCTGGTTTCAGGTCACCCCCCAGTACCATTAAGTCGGGCATGTCCCTCGACAGGAGGAATCTTCGAAAATATTTACAAACCAGATGGGGACGATTTGTCTATTTATGTTTGCTCTTTTGGGCATCAAAAAACAATGTTTGATTTTTCGTGCAAAATTCGGGTTGACCCAAAAGAGGGTCCAGCGACAAGGGGGTGGTGCAATAGATTTGGTGCAATAGATTCGTGGGGCTGCAACAGATTTGGGGCGTGCAAACCATTCCGGGGCGCAGGTGTATTGCTGGACCTTCGCGTGCAACGCACGAGTGGCAACGCAGAGCAATGCCATACAGCTCTCTGGCACAGCAGATGTGCATTACACCTGCCCCAAAATCTCTTGCACCACCACCGCCTGCAGGAGGACATGCCCCACCCGATGCTATTTATTTTTCGTCGGAAATCCCCCTGCAGGAGGACATGCCCCACCCAACCTCACCACCCGCCCGATCCGCAGGCGGCGCGGCTCCCGGCGGCGGCCCCTCGGGGGCCGCCGCCGGCCCCGCCGCCGGCGCCCGCATCGGGGCGCGGGGCCGCGGGGCGCCTCTCGGAGGCCGCGCGGCCGCTGGCGACGACGACGTCGACGACGACGACGCTGACGCTGACGCTGACGCTGACGCCGACGCCGACGCCGACGACGACGACGACGACGACGACGACGACGACGACGCCGACGCGCGCCGCGGCCGCCGCACGGCTCCAGCAGCTGCGGGCCGCGGCTCGCGCAGGGCCCGCCAGGCCGCCACGGAGCGGCGCCCCACGCGGCAGGTGCCCGGGGGCACACGAGCAAATACACACACGAATCCCAGGATTCCCTTTTTCTTGAAAAAAATGTAAATGTGCACATATAGGTGTATATAAATATGTATATATATATATATGTGTATATATATGTATATATGATTGATCTTCGTCCTCCCCCCCCATCTCCCATGTTGTCCCATATCCTCCTGGGGGTCGGCGATTTATTGTGTCTGTGTGTTTTTCCCCATCCTGGCACGCTAGACAAGCGCGTTCCACTACTCGCAAGAAGCAACTGCTCACAAGTGGAACGGGTCCGCCGATGGGAGAGCCGCGATCCATCACGTCGACGCAGATCCGTTTATTTTATTTCGGACGCTTGCAAGTAGTGGCACTTTCTACGAGTAGTGAAACGCGCTCGGTGACACGGGCCGCGCAGAACGCGGTGGGATGCAGCTTGCCGGCGCATGCTGGGGGGGAACGCAGAATGGCATAAACATCAAAACTCAGAAGTCCGCGCGGGTTTCTTCGATCCGCGCTGGACCCCCCTCCATGGCGCGCGGCGCGCGGGGCCGCCAGGGGGGTCCAGCGCGGATCCGAGAAATCCGCGCGGACCTCCGAGTTCTCATGTTTACGCCATTGCTTGTTTCCCTACATGCGGGCCTACTAAGAGAGGCCGCCAACCTGCGGGCCCAGCTGGGCGCCGCTCCCCTCCGGGCTCGAGCGACGCCGCTGCGGACCGCGGTCCGCCGCTGCCTCGGCGGGCCCTCTGGCACCGGTCTTTTCTCGGCGGGTCAAGGACGGGGTCCTGAGGGATGGGGTCCTAAGGATAGGAAGGGGTCCAAGGGCAAATTGACGTTGCTTGAGGAACCTCGTCCTTTGGACCCTATCCCTCAGGACCCCATCTTTGAACCACCGATTTTCTCCAGGCGCCGGGCGCTCCGCGAGAGCCGAGCCGGCGGCCAGCAGCCCCAGGACTCCGAGGCGGCGGGGGCAGCACGGCACCGCGCGCCGCGGGCGCGGCCCAATGGGCACCGCCAGGCCACGGGCGTGACGATCCCCCTCCTCGGACCTTTGGGCAGGGGCAGGCGGTCCCGGCGTTCCTATAGGCCTATCACGACGTGTTCTTCGCACCAACAAGAGTTCTCATTCAGGTAACACAGAATCAGATCTCTTTGAACATAAAGCGGATGCGCGGACACAAGACAGTCTCAGCAAGACATGTTCTAAGAACATTTTGTGCAAACCACCAACGGTTCGTAGAACATTCTGAATGTGGCTCGGGTACCATGCGCATGCAGTCCCAGGCGCCCCCCAAGCATAAAACAATATGAAGCCACACGACACTTCAAACAGAGTTACACGTAAATTCGTGAAAAAACAAAAACTACCAGACCAGCGTCGTCATCGTCGCCGACGTCTTCGTCGCCGTCGGCGTCGTTGCCACTGTCATCGGGGTCGTCGTCGTCGTCGTCGCCGTCGCCGTCGTGGTCGCCGTCGTTGCCGTCGCCGCCGTCGCTGTCGGCGACGCCGTCACCACCGCTGTCGCTTGTCGCTGTCGCCGTTGTCGTCGTCGTCGTCGCCGCCGCCGCCGCCGCCGATCGCCGTCCCCGTCATCGTCGCCGCCGCCGTTGCTGTCGCTGGTGTCGTCCGCGCAGTCGTCGTCACCGTGGACCTATATGAGAACTGGGACTCTTCGCCACTGCTTGAACCTGGGTGACCCAAGCGGTTCGGGCGGGTGGTAGTGGGGGAGGAGGAGGATGAGGAGGAGGAGGAGGAGGAGGAGGAGGAGAGAAAGGCACTCCAAAGAGGCCTTCAGCGTTCCTTTTGGAGCCAGCAGTGGCCCTAGGGCCCTTTTCTTCGCACCATATTGTAAGGTTATGTCGGGCGTGTCCCCCTACAGGGGGATTTTCGACGAAAAACTAAAAATTGCCCAACACTACCCAAAAAATGTCAAAACATATTCAAAAAATAGTCCCCAGACTATGTTTGGACTATTTTGGGACTATTTCTGGGGTATTTTTTTATGTTTCGTCGAAAATCCCCCTGTAGGGGGACAGGCCCGACTTATTGTAAGGCCACCCCTCGTTACCACCCGCCCGAGGGAACCGAGCGGCACCGATACCGCTGCTCCCCGAACCTCTTCAGGGGGGCGTTCGGACCGACCTCTCGAGGCGCGCCCGGCCGTGGCGACGAGGGCCTCCCACGAGGTCTGACACGAACAAGAACAACGACGACGAAGGAAGGGTGGCACGCCCACAACATGGGTGCAGAAAGCAGGGTACGATGCCCAGCAGCAAAGGAGGTCCAGAACCGACAGCGGCCGCTGTGGGGCGGGCGAGCTTGTGTCACGAGTGGCGGGCTCCCGAAACTCTGAACCAACAAACCTGGCCGTCTCTTGGGAGCCCGATCTGTTTTTCCGCCGGCCCCCGCCGGCCTTCCGCCAGCTCCCGCTGGCGGAAGGCCCACACCCGTTTTGCTGCCGCCGCCTCCCGCCGGGAAAGAGATGGCAACTCCTTCGATCCTCCAGGGCAAGGCCCTGTCCAAAACGCCCAGAGGTGCGGGGACCGAGACGGAGCCACGGGTGGCGGCCGAAGTGCTCGGCCGAAGCCACGCGGCGCGGAGCACGCCCGAGGCACCCCGCCTCGTGGGGCGGCGCAGGCGCCAGGCAGGCCTGTCACGGCCTCCCGAGCTGGCTGCGGAACTGCTCGCGCCAGGCCGCGTGCCCGCTCAGCACCGCGCGCGCGGTGAGCGGGCGCCGCGCCGTGCGCGGCTGCACGGCGTGCGCAGGCGCCCCGCCGCAGCGGGCGCGCCCGGCCCCGCCGCGGTGCGCGCGCGGCGACGCCGAGCGGGCCGGGAGGTCCTCTTTAGCCGGCCACGCCGCCTCGCGGCGCGCGGGGCTGTCGTCGGCGGGCGCGCGGCCCCTGGGGCCTCGCTGGCGCCAGCGGGCCAGAATCCTCTCCACGGCCTTCGCCTCGGCGATCTCCTCGCTCACCCTCCGCGCCCGCGCGTCCAGCGCGGTCCTGGCCTCCGCAGCGGACCGCGCGCACGCCAGGGCGGTCAGGGAATCTGCGGCGCCCAGGTCGGCGTGCTGGGCGGAGCGTGGCCGAGCGCGCCAGTCTGCCAACTCCGCCTCGAGCTCCGCGCGTTCCTGCCGCAGCTGGCGGCGCACCGCCCGGGCCGCGGTGCGGAAGTCGCCGCCTGGGGACGGCGGCGAGTGGTCCGCCGCGGCCGCCGAGTGGCCCGGCGCGGCGCCGGCGGCGCCGAGGGCCGCAGCCGCCAAGGCGCCTACGGCGGGGGGCGCCGCTGAGCCGCGCGGGGGCGGCGTGCCGCTGCGCGCCTCGGCGCCCGCGGCTGGGGCGGTGGTGGCGCCGAGGTCTCCGCAAGAGGCCCCGCGGGAAGCCGCGCGGCAGTCGGCGGCCGCGGCGGCGGACCCCCTGAGCGCGCCAGCGGCGGCCTGGGCCGCGCCCGGGGCGCCTCCCTCGCCACCCGAGGGCGGCTGCAGCAGGGTCGTCTCCAACTCCTCCACCTCGCGGGCTGCGGCCGCGGGCGCCCGCGGCGCGGAAGGCCCTCTGGAGTCGGGGCGGCCACTCGGCGAGCGCTCGGGGGACGCCGGCGCCCTGCGCGCCGAGGCGGCGGCTGGCGGCTGCGAAGAGGCCCACCGGTGCTCTGGCTCTCCCGCGCGGCTGCCCCACCCGACGACGGGCCACGTCGCCGCCGCCGGTGCGGCGGCCAGCGCCGCCTGCGACCACCACTCTGCGTCTGGGTCGGCGTCGCCGCCCGGCACGTTGCCGCCGCAGCTCCCCAGCCGCGCCTGGCGCTGGCGCAGCAGGCGCTCGGCGGCGCGCAATTGCCGCTCGCGGTCCGCGAGGGCAGCCTCGTAGTCGGCCAGGTCCCGGCTCCGCAGATCTATGCTCGCCTGTGCCGGAGACATCTGTACACGGCCATCGTGCCTGGCCAGGGCCATCCTGGGCACTAAGGTGGTGCATATAATCCAGGTCCGGGCCCCCCCCACCCACCACCATGCTGACGGCATCGCCCCCCCCCCCCCCCACTCCACGATGGGTCCCCCCCTGTGGGTGCGGTGTGGTGCTGTGGGTGTGGCGTGTGTGGCGTGGTACTGTGGTGCTCCTGGAGAGCTCTGGAGGTCGTCGTCGTCGCCGCCGCCGACGCCGTCGTCGTCGTCGGAGGGTTCCGGAGGTCGCCGCCGCCGCCGCCGCCGCCGCCGCAGCCGCCGCAGCCGTCGCCTCGCCGTCGCCGACGTCATCGTCGCCGCCGCCGCCGCAGCCGTCGCCGAAAGCGTCGCCGTCGTCGCCGTCGCCGTCGTCGTCGTCGTCATCATCGTCGTCATCGTCGTCGTCGCCGTCGTCGTCGTCGTCGTCGTCGTCGTCGACCCCCCCCATCCCATCTGGGGGAGGGGCGTGGAGTTCTGGGACCCATCCCATCGGGGGGGGGCCGTGGGCCCTCGACCCAGGAGGTCACACATGCCCCCCTGGCCGAGGCCAGGAGGGTCTACGCGCCATGCTGGTGCCCAGGATGGCCCTGGCCAGGCGCGGCGGTGGTGTGCAGACCCCTTCTGCGGATCGCCTTCTCGCGGCGCTCGCGGGTGGCCGCGCCGCGCTGGGAGGAGACCTCCACCAGCTCGGCCTTCAGGGCGGCCAGCTCGCGCTGCGAGGCCCGCAGCTCGTCCTGCAGCGTGGCGGCCTCGTCGTCGCGCCTTCGGAGCTCCAGGCGCTTCGCGGCCACCACGTCGTCCAGCTCCCGTTCCAGCCTGCGGAGCTCCCCCCGCAGGCGCTGGCGCTGCTCGTCGCCGTCGCGGCGTTCCGCTTCCACGTCGGCGGAGAAGCGCTTCGCTCGCTCGTCGCGCTCCGCCAGCGCGCCCTGCGCCGCGGCAACCCTGTCCTGGGCGAGCCCCAGCTCCTGCCTCGCCCGCCGCAGCTCCGCCGCCTCGCTCCCCTCGCCCTCCGCGCCCCACTCGCGGCTCCGCCCGCCCTCGGCGGCCTCCTGCCCCGCCGCGCCCTCCAGCCGTGACACCTCGCGCCGCAGCGCCGCCTCCGCCGCATCCGCCCGGCCCCGCGCCTCGGCCAGCTCGGCGCGCAGCGCCACGCCGGCTCGCCTGGCGTCGGCGCCTTCGGCTGCGTCCTCGAGCGACCTGGCGCGCGCGAGGTCGAGCGCCTCTTGCAGCTGCTGGCACTGGCGCTCGAGCGCGGCCGCGGCGGGCCGCGTCTGGCCGCCGTCCAGGGGCGCGGGGTCCTTCGTCTCACGCTCCGCCACGCGAAGCCGCGCCCGCAGCCCGGCCACCTCCTCGGCGGCCACGGCCGCAGCGCGCCCGCGCGCATCGCGCAGCTGCGCGAGCTCCGCCTCCGCCACCGACAGCTGCGAGCGCAGCCGGGAGGCCTCCGCGGCGCCTGCGCGCGCCTCGGCCGCGCTGGCGGCCGAGAGGCCCTGCTCCTCCAGAGCTGCCGCGAGCTTGGCCTCCGCCGCCTCCAGCCTCGGCCGCAGCCGCGAGGTCTCCGTGGCGCCCTCGCACGCCTCCTCGACGCCCGC